GGCAGGCACTGAGTTCTTCTCTATGGGGACCAGTGACAGGACCTGAGGAAATGGCCTGAAGTTGTGTCAGGGGAGGTTTAGGTTGGATATCAGGAAAAGATTCTTCCCCCAGAGGGTGCTTGGGCACTGAACAGGCTCCCCAGGGCAGTGGTCACGGCCCCAAGGCTGCCAGAGCTCAAGGAGTGTTTGGACAATCCTCTCAGGGACAGGGTGGGATTGTTGGAGTTGTCCTGTGCAGGGCCAGGAGCTGACCTTATGATCCTTGTGGGTCTTTTCCAATTCAGGATATTCTATGATTCTGTGGTTCTATCTTCAGAAGTCCTCCCTTGGCCCATTCCTGAAGGAACACTTGTATCTGCATCCATCTCCTTGTAGCAAAAACGTCACCTCAACTGCCCCTCTGAAGGTTACTGAAATCACCTTCTTTAACCCCACAACGTGGGGTTAAAGAAGGTTTTAGAGGTCCTACCCAAGCATCCAATATTCCCGTGACCTGCACATCTGTCCCACAGGCATTCAGAGCTGGGTGCTCCACAGAACTCATTGGCCTCGTGTCCATTGATTTCCTCAGCTTGACTCCTTCAGGAACAGGTCTGCATCAAGTATTTTTACTCAAAACTTGTCAGTAGCTAAGCTGGACTCATACAATCATAAAATGTTCTGATTTGGAAGGGACCCACAAAGATCATGGGGTCCAGTTCCTGGCCCTGCACAGGACAACCCTAAGAATCCTACACTTTTTCTTCTAAAACTGTTTTTTGCTTAATTTTTTCATGCATATGAAATCATGGAATCACAGAATGGTTTGGGTAGGAAATGACCTTAAAGATCAGCTTGTTCCAACCCCCTACCGTGGGCAGGGACACCTTCCACTATCAGGTTGCTCCAAACCCTGTCCAACCTGACCTTGGACACTTCCAGGGATGGGGCAGCCACAGCTTCTCTGGGTAACCTGTGCCAGGACCTCACCACCCTCAGAGGGAAGAATTTCTCCATAATATCTAACCTAAGTTTCCCCTCTTTCAGTTTAAACCCATTATTCCTTGTCCTATCACTACAGTTCCTGATGAAGAGAAATATGAAAAAATTTTGTTGCCTTCAAATTTTTTGTTCTGCTCTGTTTTCTGGTTGCTTTACAAAGAATCAGTTTTATAAATATTGAGTTTTTTGAACTTGAGTAAAGTTGAGGAAACAAATTTCCCCACTCTCTGTATTAAATATAAACCAATATTTTTAGATGCGAAAAACTATAAATTCACAAAAGGAAACTTTCACGCTTTTGTGTGTCGCTGATTTCTCCCCAGCTCTCTTTGCCACTGGAAAAAAAGAATAAAAAAAAGGATGGGAGAACTACTATCAGTTACTTTTCTCATAATTTTTTCTTGTAAAACTAATTTTAAAAAACATTAGAAGCCGAAAACACCGCAGAACAACATCCATTCAACTCAGCTGCTGTTTTTTTGGAAAAAAAATGAGCGTTTAAAAAAATGAAGAGTCCCCCAGCTGCAGTGGACTGGGAGCTCACCAGCAGCTTTTTGTGTCTGACAACACTTGTCTGCAGTTCTGCTTTGGGATTTTGAAGGATGGGTCGCTTTGGCTGCCGAAGGCTGCGGAGGCGACTTGAAGAGTGTGACCGGTGGATTCTGGGGGGACTGTGAGCACCCAGAGCTGTGCTAACGCCTTCTGTGTGTGGGTGGGACTGAGTGAACTTTGTGGGAGGCCTTTCTGGTTCCATTTCCCACCCGAGGTGGGCCGTGCTGTTCCCCTCTCGGTGCGCCTTTGACACGTGTGCGTGGGGAGAAAGATGAGCTTGTGTCAGAGTGCAGAGAGGTGTTTCCAGGCTCTGCAGGGTGCAGGAAGGGTTGCAGTGTCCCCCCAGACACAGGAGCACTGTGGAGAGTTGCACAGGTCAGGTCATGCTCCCCACTCCTCTCAAACCCTGTCAGAAGAGTTGGGATGGCCCCAAGACCATGATGGGACTTGCTGAGGTTGATGTTCCCACTCTGCTCCACCAGGGCCATCACTGTGTAGTAAAGCAGCTGAAAGAAGATTCTTGGCCTGGCGTGAAGAAGTAGGAGACAGAGGTGATGTGGGTGATTATGACTAGATTTATTGCTAATACAGTGCCTAAATATCGACAATTCAGTATCCAAAGAACAGCCATCAGGTCGTGGTCCCTCCTGTTGAGCCACAAGCTTCACTGAGACCCTCTGGCTTTCTAAACTGCTCACAGAAGTCGGAATGTGGCTTAGTCCACTTAGTCCTAAATTTGGCCAACAGTTTGTGACTAAAGGATTATGATGTATGCACAAATGTACAGGTTTACAGCCTTTGGCCTTGCAGAATTCACAGTTACAGAGCACATATGGAGCTACTCTAGGATTTTAACTTTGTATTTGATGGGATCTTAGTACTTTTACTCACCCATCCAAAAGCTAGTGTTCCCCATTTTTGGGTTGGATGTACCCCACAGGCTTCCCTGCCAGGGTAAAGATTCATCCAGAAGCTGCCTCCCACCTTGGGAGACCAGATGGTCCAGTTGGCCCAATATCCAACAGCATTTTATTTCCTTTTGCAGGCACCAAAATCAATTGCAAACATCTCATTATTGTTATTAATTATGTATTCCGGTAATTATGTGAGCACTTGGTGTCCTCATGTGAGAACAAATTATATTTCCCACCAGAGACAGCGGAAAGGGAGAGGGAGGATGTGTGTGGGAGGAGGACACACTTGAAGATCTTTCGTTGCCATCACGCACTGAGAGCAACTCAAAACCCCCAAAAGATGCCTCCATAATCCTTCTTACGGTCCATCAATCCTCTCGTAAGATCATCTTGGTGACATGACTGGCAGTCAAAGCATATTGCTGACTTTTGCTCTATCTCACATTCCCTAAATCTGCTGAAAAAACGGCAAGTGCCACATCTACATCTCCCATTTGGGAGCAGATATCAAAGACCCTGAGATGCTCCAGTGAGCCAGTAACAAGGACTGTAGATCTATGTCCCACATGTAAGTGGATTTTTCTGTCTTTCATGGTTGGTAACAAGTGATATCTAAAACTTATCTATCATCCAGCCTTGACTTAAAATGATACCTTTCCCTCTGTAAAAAAGGGGAATTTCAGCTACTCTCATGGCAAATAACACCATTCTGAATCAGAAATCCTGTCACAAATCCTTCCACAAGTGGAAGAGTGGGAAAAGTTCACCTAATAAGTCATGTACCATTGCATGACAACCAGATCTTCTAAGCAAAGCAAACCCTGGTTGCAACCTGGAAGGGAGGCTGCCAAATTAAAATGAAATTGCTGCAGGAAATGCTGTGGTTGATTTAGTAGGTGAAACTTCCCCTCTGACTGTGTTGGCAGTGCCTGGAGCAGTGCTGAGACCTGGGGACAGATGGATGGGCCATCTGTAAACTCAGGTCAGAGAAAAGCTCAGAGAAGTTGGGATGCTGAAAAAGTTTTGATGGGGGGTGGTGAAAAATGTGTGTTAGACAATCCTGAAATATTCCACCAATTCCTTACATTTTGCTCACTTTATCAGTGATAATAAAAATGAGGCAGAAGAGAAAAGACATTTTAAAAAATAACACCTTAAAATGTTGAGATGTCTCTGTTAAAAGTCTCATTTCAGAGCCCCAGTTTTTAAAATAATAGATACAAAAAAAAAGCAAAAAAAATTCTTTTGCTGGAATATTTTTTTCTGCAAGTCTGGTTTACTGGGAGTTTTTTGGTCATCTCTGTTGGAGTCTGACTGTCATAACGTAGTGCCAGGCTGACATTTGGAGAGGTCTCTGGACCTGCAGTCCCTGATCCTCTCATGGCAGACTCTGAGGTAATTTATCAAGAAGAGGAGTCAATATGTCTTTGCTCAGCTATGAGTATTTGGGGTTTGGGTTTTGGGGTTTTTTTGAGCATTTAGTCCACACCTTCCTATGCCTTTGGCTCAAAGCAGGGGCTGGGGTAGATTTTGGCACTGAATGTTGTAGATACCTTGTGTATTTGTGTCAACAGCACTTCATCCGTCTCTTAATTTTTGAGGGCTCTGAACAGGCTGAGTTTGCCATAGTTTGGCCATCTTGGCGACCCAGATCCACTATTATCCTTGAGTTATTTGACCCCTGGTGGCCTAGTGGTTAGCGTGCAGGACTTTCACTGCTGTGACCACGGGTTCAAATCCCGGTCTCCTGGCCTGATGGAGGTCGTTAGCCCTGTGAGGCCATCCATCTATGAGAAGGACACTCTAAACAAACCTACGTCCTGAGGACCTCACTGCCATTGTCCAAGCTTGCTTGGCCCCGGCAGATGAACCTTAGGATTAAAGGGTGGGCTCAGTTCAGCGCAGGCTGTGTCTCACCTAAAAAATCCATTGCGCAGGCTGGAAAGGTAAAAGACCTTTCCCCAAATCTTCGTTTGCGAAGATGGGCCATTATTATTGACCAGAGCTGAAATTACATTTATAGGATCACAGTTAAACAGCCCTCAAGCCCAAGTTTGGAACCCTAATGTGGACCAGCGGATGATCCACGGAAAGGGTTTGATTCATTTGTGTCTAGTGATACTTGAGATGTCCAGGAGGTCTGAGGTATGCATGTGGTCTTGGCAAACATAATCCATGATTTATGGGAGACCCACATCTTGTGAGGACGAGCACCTTGTCAGCTGGGACCTCTGCATTGGAGAGGGGATGGATCCAAAGTCTGGGGGTTTTGTTTGTTGTTTTTTTTTTCTGATGACTTATAGTGTCTGTCTGAGCCTCATTTGCAAAGTGTGAAACACCAGAGTCACCTGGGAAGAGAAACCATGGGTTCACAAGGTCCAAGCTAGCAGGAGGCTCTAGACAGAGTGGTTTTAGACTCCTCTCTCCACTGTACCATCATCCTGCATTCTCATCTTCTCCAGCTTGTTATTCAAGATTGTTTTGTCCCTCAGTGCCTGCACCTTTCCCCAGGAGTGGTCTCATTAAAAAGGAATTTCTGCTCTTCCTTCCAGGATGGGGTTGCTCGGGAGCAAAAATCAGCTGATGCCCAATGAGAAACACACTTCTGGAGGCAACCCAAAAACCAGGAGTAAACCTCCTCCTGCTCCCCCCAAGGTAAGCCTGCAGTTTTGCATCCTTTTGGGATCCTCCATGGCTCAGTTAGTGTTTGAAGTGATGCAGGCAATACTTGGAATCATAGACTCATAGAAGGATTTGGGTTGGAAGGGCATTTAGGCCAACCCCCTGACATGGGCTGGGAAATCTTCTTCTAGACCATGTTTCATCCAACCTGGCCTTGAAGGATTCCAGGGATGGGGCAGCCACAGCCTCTCAGGGCAACCTGTGCCCAGCACTGCCTGGACACAAGTCCTCTGAGCTGGTCCTCCCAGATGATCCCTGTATCTTTTAGACAGGGATGGGAAGGGTTCTGAGGAGCCTCTGCATATTAAAAAAGAAAATAAATTAAAATCCAGTGTATGGGGACTTTGAAATATCTCCTTATCAGTACTTTGCAACCCAAGCTGATGTTGCTGACTTGCAAAAGGCACAAAGATTGGTCAGATTCAGGCTAAAGATTCAGAGCTGCAAAACCGCAATGGAAACTTCACCATCCTGAGGGCAGCGGGTGCACCAGGGAGGGTCCACAGCCAATGTGGATTGGGGTGAGCTGAGAATCAGAAATGCTGGGCAGCTGCTGCTCCCTTTGAATTCACACAACCTCTGCTTGCATGGACACAAGGCACTGGGTCAGGATTTAGGAGACCTCAAATGGCAAAATCCTTGTTTGAACTTTGCCGATCACTTTGTCTGTCTGGTGCTGTACAGAGGGCGTGGGCTTGTTTTCTCTTTCCTTGCCCCTGTCAGCTCTGCATCCAGCAGCCAGCACAAGAGAAACTCTGGTGCAACTGTCTTGTGAAAACCACCTCAGGTCTCGAGCCCTGTGAGAGGGGAGGAATTGCCTGTCGTTGCTTTTTATGACAGGTGAAGATGTTTTTCACTCCTTTAGCTTCATTTCTGAGTTCTCCCATGGTTACACAGCCCAGTTTTCACGACAGCAGATGTCAGATTGACCAAGAAGGTGCTATTTTCCTAAATTTCCTTCTCTCCAGCTCACTGGAGAGGAGCTGCTATCAGTATAAATATAGAATCATCGATCACCTTCTGCCACTCATTATTTTTTGCCACAGGCACTCAGCTCTCACATGTCAGGGGAAGTCCATCTTCCTTTCAGTTAAATTGGAAATGGCAGTGGATGAGCAGCTCTCCCACCCCTCACTGCTCCTAAGTGTGGGTCGAAGGGTGGCATGGACAGAAAACACTGGATGTTTTTAATTCGGTGTCTGCATTTCACTCCTTTTGCACGTGTGTAAAAATACCTGGTGATGGTGCAACACCCCCTACAGTCACTGGGTCCAGTATCTTGGGCTGATCACAGGACTGGTGTTTGAAGTTGGGTGGAAGCCAATTTCAAACTCTTAGCCCTGAAAACAAGGTGGTTCCATCCCAGCTGATCTGGAACGATCTATGGCCAGTTTGCCACTTTCAGCCGCTGGGCCAAACCAGGGACCATGTCAACATTTTAAAAGTGTGTCCAGAGGAGTTGCAGGACCTTGTTGCTCTTTAATGGCACAGTCTGCAACTGCCCCACGAGGGAAAGTGGAGGGGCAGGCACTGATCTCTTCTCTCTGGTGACCAGTGATAGACTCAAAGGAACGGCACGAAGCTGTGTCAGGGCAGGTTTAGGTTGGATATTGGGAAAAGGTTTCTCGAGGGACGGTGATCGGTCACTGAAGAGGCTCCTCAGGGAAGCAGTCACAGCACCAAGGCTGCCAGAGCTCAAGAAGTGTTTGGACAACGTTCTCAGGGACAGAGTGGGATTATTGGGGTGTCCTGTGCAGAACTCCAACAGGATTTAGACTCTATGATCCTTGTGAGTCCTTTCCAACTCAGGAATCGTAGAATCATAGAATGACAGAATATCCTGAGTTGGAAGGGACTCACAAGGATCATCAAATATTTTGTGATTTCTATGATTTCTATGATTCTACAATTAATTTGCTAATATAGTCACTGCCTCTGCTTTTTGAACATATCCCTGAACACAGCATATCCCATGAGCCTTGGGACAATTCTGGCAAAGAGTATATCCAGTTTTCTGCTTCAAATAATATTGCCATTGCCATTTCTCAACAGGGCCATTCATGTCTCAACCCCCACAGATCCGAAATCTGGCACCAGTGAACAAGGGTTAGATAGACCAGGGTCCAAATGAGTGGGTGGCAGATTTGTGCTTAAATTCAGAGGGAAGCCAAGGGTTATTCAAGCTGACTGTTAAGACAGCCATGAACAGATCATGGCAAAATGTGCTAAAGCCATCAGGACACGTCCAGAACCAGACACAGGGGCTGTTGACTGACTCCCACTTGTCTGTGAAGCTGAGAGCAGGTCTTCCTGAACACACAGCAAAGTAATAAATATCTTTTTTTTTTTTTTCTATTTCTACCCAAGGGCAGACAATTTATCAAAACCCCTCATCTAAACCAAGCCTCTGCACAAGGTAAGATTCTGTTTTCTCTGCCTTCCCGTGGGGTTTCGCAAGGTGGTGGTCCCCAAATAGCAGGTCTTGAGAACAAGCCGTCACGTCACAGGCGTGTGGTTTCTGTATCTACAGCGCTGCCAAGCAGGGAGTTTATCAGTGTGCTTCTGAAAATTCACTTTACATCACTGAGTGTCTGTAGCTGCCAATTTTTTCCTGCTCATCAAAGAAATTAAGAGGGCAAAGCACCAATTCTTCGTTGGAGCGAGATGATCCCTGAGGCCCCTTCCAACCCAAACCACTCTGTGATTCTGTGATTGGTGGGGAAAAAGGAGATCTGAGACTTCAGCTGTGTGAGATTTCCCTGTCTGCTGCCCTGTCTGCAGCATGACGACTCATGGATGCTGTATCCAGCCAGCTGAAAATTCCAGAGGAAATAGCAGGCATCAGAGAGCCCAGGGAGACTACAAAGAGAAGGAGAAGAAAGGAAAGAGTTTAAAATAAGGATACACAGAGGCCTTGCTCAGGGACTGTCTGTTGGCTTCATCCACCTGCAGGTCACAGATGGTGTTTGGAGATTATTGTCTTTCAGCAGGGAGCCCTCTGCTACCTCTGCCCAGCCCCCCAAAAGCAGCTTGTGTGTATTTCTGTCAAAGAAGTTTTGCAGATTAAGGACACAGAGAGAGAGATAATTAGAAGAGGAAAAAAAAAAGAGGAAGCTTGTAAGAAAGCTGTTAGCAACACCTAAAAGTTCTTCACGTGGATGGAAGTGTAGGATTAGGGGAGACGGGCATGAGGATAGGAAAATGGGGGGTCATGAATAAATGGGATGGGTGGAATGACAGAGGTAGGTCTTCTCAGGTCTTGTGGATGATGATGGAGAGTCCCTGCCATGGGCCAAACACGGGAACTCCTGCAACATCAAAATCTTCAAATTTGGCATTTGTTATGGAAATAAAATTTGTGGGAGGTGAAGCTCCTACACTATGTGAGTAAACCATGCTTTCTTTTGCAAAATCATTTTCGTGTCACATTTCCAAGTGTCCATGGTCTCCTACCTCCCAAACTGAGCAGACTTCGACAGTCTTTCACAGTTTTTATCAACCTCAAGCTGGTCAGAAGCACAACACAAGTTATTTTCAGGGAGGCAGCTTTTACTTCTGCTTCACGCCAGAAGGCAGAAGTGGAAAGATGCTAAAAAAGTGGATTAAATATCATGTTAGCCATTTTCAGCTCTCAAAAATATTTTGGTTCATTAGATTCAGTTCCAGTTCTGGAGGAATATTCACACTGACAGTCTGGGAAACTTCCTATTTTTCTCTACTGGTGTCTGAGTTTCCCGAAATAATGCTACATCTGACTCTCTCCTGTGGGGCAAAATGGGCTGATAGGAACCATGCCAGATATTTGAGATATCAGAGATAGCCTCCTGAAAGAAAGCAATTCAAGTGAATTGATAGAGAAAGCACAAAATGTAGGCAATCACACCATATATATATATTTAAAAAAAAATCAAAGAGCTGAATTGTATCCTGTGGGAGCAATGAAAATTCAATCAGGCAAAATTATTGACTATGGAAGCATGGCATGAAATGTAAAATCAAACCCACTTTTTTCCTTGGGTTTTTAATTTCTTTTTTTTTTTCTTTTTCTTTTTTTTTGGCTTTCCTTGCATTTTGATTGTTTTGGGAGTGAGTTTTTTTATGTGGGTTTTTTTCTTCTGATCTTGATGTTGAATTTGTTTCACACTTTCCAGCTTTCACACCACTATCTCGGAGATAATTTATTTATTTATTCTTAACAAAAGCCTAATTCCTCCTGACTTTATTTATCTTAATGGAAGCAACACAAAGGCAGGCAAGGGGTGCATAACTCTGGATTCAGTGTGGTGTGTGTGACATCACCAATCCACTTTCACTTGGGGAGGTTCTTCCATCGTGTGAGTCTCTCATTCATTTTAAGATGGTTCCCTAAGCAATCCCAATGTTTTTAAGGCTGGTTCTAGGTCCCCATGGAACCAAAACTTCAATTCTGCACCTCTAAAGCTCCCAGTCCAGCAAAGTCCTGGCCTATGATGGTGGACCTCAAATACCACAGTGCCATGGCTACAGCTGCTGCTTGGATAGATAAGACATAGAAAATAGGTAGAATAACCCCTGCCCTTGCCCTGCCAGCTGCTCACAGTTGGATTTAAGTCCTACTGATGGAGAGAGCTGGTCATTTTGGGTGCTTGTCCTCAAGCACTACAATAACCTGTGACTGCACAAGGACTGTGAGGTCGTTTCTTCTGATGAGGAACTGCAAGTTCTTCCATCTCTTCACTTGCTTTTTGCAAATCATAATATGAACAGGACTGATTTGCAGGGGGTGGGAACTTGGCATACTCTGGAACTTGAGGTCTTTTGAGGCATCTCAAGGTTAACAGCGAAATTTTAGTTGTTTCTACTGTTGTTCCTTGAATATGGTTCTGAGTTTGAAAGGAATGTTGTCAGAACCGCGGGTTTGAGGGTAACTGGGAAAAGGAAGGGTTGTTTCTGCTGAAAAGGCTGATTTTTCAATGGGAAGTTAAAACTTCTCATCAAAAATGGGCATTGGCAATCATAAGCAAAAGGAGAAATGAACATGAGAGGCAACTGCCCGAAATGTTCAGATCTCCTGATGAAAAAAACCCACAAGTTTAGGTCTGATATGATTTTATGAGGAAAGTAGGAATTATCTGCAGAAACATTCACTGTGACAAAACACAAGGCAGGAAGGCACTTGACAGAAAGCACTCTGGCAGTGCAGGCCCAGATATCCCGGGAAATATCTCCCATGCTGTCACACCTGGGCTTGCTGATCATTTGGGAGATGCAACAGTCCCAGTCCATAGTTTTCTGCATCTCCTCCAATGGGATCTGATGGTGTTTCTCTCAGTGACAGCAGCAGGTGTGTGTTTTGAAGGCATCCTTTTCCAGCACAGCTTTACCGTGGTCTGGAGCACAAGTCTGATAAGGAGCAGCTGAGGGAGCTGGGGGGGCTCAACCTGGAGAAAAGGAGGCTCAGGAGGGACCTTCTCACTCTCTGCAACTCCCTGACAGGACAGGGGAGCCAGGTGGAGGTCAGGCTCTGCTCCCAGGGAACAAGGGACAAGACAAGAGGAAATGGCCTCAATTTGCACCAGGAGAGGTTTAAATTGCATATCAGGAAAAATTTCTTCACAAAAATGCGTCATTAATCACTGGAGTCCCCATCCCTGGAGGGATTTAAAAGCCATGTAGATGTGGCACTTGGGGACGTGGTTTAGTGGTGGGCTTGGCAGTGCTGGAGGAATAGTTGGATTTGATGATCTTAGAGGTCTTTTCCAACTTTAATGATACCACAATTCCAACCAGCCCATGTTGTGCTGAAGCAGAAAGCTGGACCCATTTTCAGCAGCAGTAACTCACAGCTCAGAGCAGCCAGCTGGCCAACACACGTGCTGTGAGTTGTCACTTATGCCATGACCATCCTAGAACAGCTCTAAACCAATGGATGATCCTCTGGGAGACCCTGGATCTCAGCCTGGCTCCGTGGCCGTGATACGTTTGCAAAGGCCTTCCATTCATGACAGGGCAGCAGTGGGAAGACTGGTTGAATTATTCCTAATAAGCCACCAAATAGGCCCTCAGCCTGTGCAAACTGAGCGGGTATCAAACTCTCCTGGCAGCAGCTCTGAGCCAGGACGGATTTGGCTCCCAATCAAAGTCTGGGGGCTGAGAGCACTATCTGCAAAGCAGTCGCTCCTCGCAGCCCCGATGGCTTCTCTGCCGTGGAGTCACTCAGGACTTGACTCAATCAAATAGGCCAAGAAAGTGCTATCAACCCTATTTCTCAGTGGGGTGACGACTCAGAGACAGAAAGGGTCGCTTTCATCGTGACATGTCAAGTCTCGCCGGCTCAGGCAGAGAGACCTTTTCTTCTGGCTCACTTTCAGTGTTTCTCAAATCCTATTTTGAGAAGGAGATAAGAGGTGATTACAGTATTTTTTTAAGCATATTAAACCTTTTTGTCCTTGCTGTATTTGCTTTTTTCTTTCCTCTCTCTCTTTTTTTCTATTTTTTTTTTTAATTTTTAAAATTTCATTTATTTGCCCTTATGTCAGTTGCTTCAAGATCACAGCCACGTTTTCACCTTCTGGAACACACAGCCACCCTGTGCTTGAAGATATTTACACATTTGCTTCTATTTTTCAAAGCACAAGTGTGACCCACTGCGTTGTTTTCCTTTCAAGAGGATCAGGATGGTGTGTGTGGATCACCAGGCCTGCTGTGGACACCTCACAGTAGGCACATGCCCCAAAAAACTTTCATGTCAGAGAAGCTGTGTGATAACAACTTTCTCAAGGAGGCAGCAGGAGTTTGGGTGCATTGCTAATTCGAGATCCCTCAAGGGGAAGCCCCCAACTGTGTGAGTTATTTTAAGACTTCAAAGCATTCTCCCTCATGACTGATCATCCTTTTCCAGTACTAGGAGTGAGTGAGGCTCTGCTGAAACCCCTCATGGATCTCCGAGTTCCTTCTGGAAAGCCTGAAGGGAAGAGTTCAGGGCTTTGGTTTACAAAGCTGCATTTCCCCCCACACTGACCCTTTCTCCTCCCTAACAAATCTCCTGCAGAGCAGCAGCCAACCTTGCACAGGCACAAACCCCAAGTTGCCCCAGAGACACGTTATCTTGTGATGACAAAGGGCCAGTCTGGCTCTCTTGCTGGTGGCGTTATTTGAAAAGGTCACACAGAGACTGTGGCTTGACAGGCTGTTTTGAAAAATGCTAATAATAGGCTGGCCATGGCTCTGGGTGCATTAATTAGGCTGAGTACAAGCTAAAGCCTTCCTGCAGCAAACAATCTCCATTTTTCTTTTTCTTTTTCTTTTTCTTTTTCTTTTTCTTTTTCTTTTTCTTTTT